AATAATAATAATAATAATAATAATAATAATAATAATAATAATAATAATAAATCTACTTGAATCTTTCTGGACCTGTAGCATCACATCCCCCAAGATTTGATAGGAGCTGGTGAGACATTCACTGTCCTTGGCAGTGCAGGATCTGCAAATGCCTCCTTGGGTTGCTTTTCCCGTGTGTGTCAAGCCTGGCTTTGCCAGGCAAAAATCCTGCAGGATCTGTGGGGACAGGCTGTTTCTGCAGCCTTTGCAGGTGTAATGCTCCCAGATGCTCCCAGCCCTCACTGGACCTCACCGGAGGCATCCACTGTGTCTGCTGGGGAGGCAGTTGTGGGTGACTGGATTGAGTGTGGGGTTGTGCCAGCCTCAGAATCTTCAGATCCTTACTTTACAATTCCCTTTTTACTCTAAAATATGCTGAATCCCTTTCTCAAGCAATGGCTTGTCTCGCTAAGGTTTTCTTTGGTGCTTGCTGTCTGCTGCTGGTCAGTAAAACTTTGTTGGAAATGGTCTGTTGCTGGAGCAAATCACACCATGACTCGGTCATGTTTACTGGTCCTGTCCGTCCTTGACAGCAGGGAATTTGTAGCCCTAATTATAATGACTCTCTCGGGTCTTCTCGGGGTTAGCTTAATCCTAACGTCACGGTTAGCTCTGGCACCACCAGGGATGGTTCTGCAGGGAAAAATGGAGGGGAAAAAAAAAAATTCTGACTTGGTTGCAAAACATGCAGCAGCCTAGTCCATGAGAAAAATCCCTTTTCGTCTTTTTTTTTTTTTTTTTTTAATAGATCATGCTTAAAGCATCTCTGTTCCTTCCCAGGTGGGAAGGAGGCAACTGTGCCTAGAGACCCTGAGCACAAACACTGTGCTGATTTTGTCAAGTGCTGTGTATTGAGAGTGCCCAGGCTGAAGACTTACATCTGCATAGGCAAGACAGAAGGAATATTCCCCTGCCCTTAATTTCCAGGTAAAGGGTGGTACATCATGGGTTACCTGGCAAAGCCAAGAGCTGCGCCCAGCCCCTCCAGCCCGTGCACGGGGTTTTGCCTTACCGAGAGCGGGATGGGAGTTCAATTACAGGGAGTTCAATTCCTCTTGGTCTCCTGATAGCCATCACAAATATCTTTCTAGAAATACCAGGGTGGAAATTCCACCCTTCCCAGATGCTATTTTCCTGAAGGGTTATTCTTATATATTATCAAGTTCGATGGCTAACTTGTTGGAAGAAACCCGAGTCAGTTTATATCGAATTTTCCCCCTGGATACTCCTCCCTTGGCAAAGAGGGAATGTTAGTGAGGGGCTATAAATAAGGGGTGATCTCCTCTGGTTAATGGAAATGGTGGGCCCCCGCGAGGAGCACGTGCCTTCTGTTTGGATGTATGGGGCATCAGCACATGCCGGGTAGATGCCATTCATGCTTGCTGGTTATATGCTCTTATTTTAGCCTCTAATCTCTGCTGATGAACTCATACGCTCTAACACTTTGCCAGCATTTCTAGCTTCTTGTTTTTTTTTTATTAGTGCCCTGTTGTTCACCATCCGATTAGACTAAAATCCCATTAAATAGGGCTCAGCTAACGCTTGCTGCTTTTTGAGGGCTCCTCTCCAATTTTCTGGGAATATTGCAAGAAGCCATGGATTTAGTTCAACAGAAATTCAGGCACAGGGTGGCAAAGCAAACCAGTTTGTTTTCCATCCGGCTTGGTACCATCAACCTGACCGCGCAGCTCGCTGGTGGCAGCGATACCCTCAAAGAGCCACCCTCACACACAGCTATGCCTAATGTTGGCTAGTTAATACTCACTTCCAAACCCTTCCTAACACGTTTGCAGTTGATGGGTAACACACCCAAATGTCTCCTTGCTTGGGCAAGTCACTCATTAAGTCAAAGTCGCACTAATTTGTGATAACTCATGTTTGCCTTGTGCTGAGTTTGCCTGCAGGTTTGCCTTGCGCTGGGGTCCTGGTTCAAATAAATGGGATAAAACGATTTGGGGTTTATTTTCCTTCTTTACCCATCAATAGAGTCGGGGCAGATGTTGGTGCAACGTTGGGCAGGACGTGCCCATCGCCCTCCCCTGCCCTCTCGCTGCCAGGATGGCTCCCACTGGCAACGGCTCCCTGCATCCCAGCGGGATGCTGCTCAGTTTGGGATGAAAAATGCCCAGGCTGGGAAAGCTGGATTTAGCTTGAAATGGGATGCGATGAATAACCAGCAGGAGGAGCAGGAGGTTGGGGCAGCGGAGGCTGGAGGAAAATTCCTGTCATAAAAGCCCACTCAGGCCCTCAGTTTTCTTAAGGAAAATCTCCTGTTTGGTTTTCCTCCCTCCCTGGGACCGGAGTGAGGCTTTCCCATCCTTTGCTTAGTTGTTTCTCATGGCATTCGAGTGATCATCTCACAATCTGTCTATGATTTATTGCAGGATTGATCCCGCCTGGAAAAACAGCCTTCCCCAACCCTGGCTCTGAATGCAAGGATTATTCTTATTAATTTCCTACAAGAAGGAGAAAGGAAGCCTGTTTTTCTTTAAAAGATGAAAATCTTGTCGGGCACTGCAAGCCCACTGGTGAACCATGGCAACGCTGGTGCCAAGGGCTGGTTGTGCTGGCGCGGGGACCGCTCTGTTGCCACGGGGCGAACACCAGCCCAGGAGCATCGCTCTCTGCACCGTCTCTTTGCCAAAGCTTTGTGAGCTGTGGATACTCATCTGTATGAGCCCTCATTTTGTCACACCAACTTGGGGAGCAGCTTCTCCAAAGAGCAGGGTCAGGCCTTGGGTTGTGCTCTGTGTCTGCTTTTGGGCTCTTTATTTCTTGCTCAGGACTCATTAAGGAGCTGGTCTTCCCCGGCGGGGTGACGAGTTTCCGAAATGATGGCTCCAAATGCCCTGAGTTTTGTATTTTATTGATGTTAAACAGAGCAGAGGATGAAGTTTAGCACTAGATGATGCTAAATGCTGGCAATTAAAATCTGTGGTCTTTTTTTTATTTGTAGTAATGCTTCTTTCCCACAGCCAAAAGGGCAGCGTGTCCAGGCCGATGCTGGGATAGCTGGAGGGTGCCGCAGGGCTGGATCCACCAATGGCAGGTTAGTGCCCATCTCCCTGGCATTTGGGAGCCTTGCTATCTTGATAGCACTGCCTTTTTAGGTACCTGCCTTCCTGCTTTACTCCTGTTTTCTGCTAATTCCTCCCATGATGAGCTATCTTCATCTAACATCCCCTAAGCAAAACCTGTCCTGCCTCCCCAAGCTGGCAGCTCTTGCACTCGCTCCCTACCCCATCATTTCTTGCACAGAGCCCTTGGACACAGACTCTCCTCCTGCATTGACGCATCTCTCCGTTTATCTCCCGTCCCTTGGTCCTGGAGGGTGGGAGCCAGAAGACAACTCTGGTTTCAACTCCCAGGGTGGAGAGAAAGCTTGAAGAAGTGAACGAAAGGGCATCACTCAGCCATAAGCCCATGTTGCACAGAGGCAGGGGTGACATCTTTTCTCATCCTTTGGCTTGACTAAGCCCTCTTCCCTACGTGGAAGGCTGGGGAAGGCAAGCCCTGGGGGATTCCTCTCCAGGTAGGCTCTCCCTGGTTGCACGGGAAACCTGGGATCTTCAGAGAGCTTTTTCCAACTCGCAGATCTGAAAGAGGACTCTACAAATGTGGTAGCGTTCACCATCCCTTCTACTGCGGGTACCACAACGGGAGGCGGGAGCTACATCCTGCATCCCTGCGATGCGCCTTCCCACTGCCCCACGCCTGCTCTTCCCCCCGGCACCACTGGGAGAGTTGAGACTCTTCCTCTCCCCCTCAATTATTTTTATTTTATTTTTTTTCAGGGTGCCAATAAAGGCAGACTCCTTTAATCATCCCAGCTTTAAGAGGGAAACGGGAGAGCGTGAGGGAGAGAGTGCAGTGAATTTAGAGACTCATCTTACCCCACCATGTTAATTATCTCCGCTGTAAAAAAGAGGTCAAGGAGAGGAACTCTACTAAATAGGCCGACGTTGGCATGAACAGCTCCTAAAGTGAAGAAGGTAAGACTGAACTTTACTGGAACTTTTTTTTTTTCCATCTCTTCAAAAAGCTCCTAGATTAAAGCTCTGATATCCTTTTTGTTGAAATCTCATGGATTCTGAAGCTCAAATGGCTGGAAGGAAGCCCAGATAATTTTTTTTTATCCCAGTCACTGAGAGGCTCAAAGGTTTTAAGTCCTGCCCCCATGGTGAATTGCCGAGTATATGGGAATACAGAAGAACCCGGCACATAGGTGTTCTGGCCATTGTTATCGAGAGGGAGAAAAATAAAATAGCTCTCTATGTAGGTCAATGACCTGCTCTTTATTGTCAGTAAAAAATTAAGGATGACCTAAAATCTACTACTCAATAAAAAAAAAATAAAATAAAAAAAAAAGGCAAGGTAAAGTAGTCTCCCCCTAATCAAAGAGGAAATGTTTGTGTTACCTAAAGCCTGACCTCCTCAGTCTCTAACTTTAGCAAAGTCTTTGCGATTGAAAAGCAGTGGTCGAAACCTCAAAACCTGTCTGAAATGTCTATTAATTTTTGATCTTTCAAGGGAGTTGGCTTAGTTATTGTAGAAGCCCCCGTAGCGCCAGGTAGCGTAGTTAAGGGTCTCTCAGCATTTCCATTATAAACCCCCAATATTCAAGGGCTTATAACTCAGCTGTTTCCACGTTGTGTCTGTCTGATCCCCGCGTTGCCATTTGCTGGCTCATCTGCCATCCCCCTCTGTCCTTCTGGGGGAAATAACATGAAAATTGGTGACAGTGGCTAATTTTTAATTCCGCCCCCCTCCCCCCACCAAGCTGGGAAGCACCTAGCCAAAACCAGGACACCTGGACCTCTGTGGGCCATGGGGTCCTCTCCATGCACCAGGTTGGTTTATGTGCCCCATCTCTATGGGGGGAAAGCAAGTCAGTGAAGCCTAAAATACCCCACTGGGGCTTTTAGGATGGATTGGGGTTTGGAGACTGAAGGCTTTAATGTCAAAAGGGAGCTCGGGTGAAGGAATTAAAACCAGCTCCTTATTAATGATGAGGGCTGCTTGTAGCATCCTCCCTTACCCATCCTGCTCCTTCCAACCCTCATCGCACCAAGGATGCACTCGATTAATCCCTAGATTTTTGGCCGAACCAAAATTTGATTAATACTTGATTTTTGTCCATCTTGCAGAGACTCTTGTGTATAAGCCAGGCTCAAGATATTTACGTCTGCAAACCTTTTCCTCTCTGGCTGCTTTTCTTTTGCAGAGCTCTTTCCCGGGCACCTGGCCCATGATACGTTGGATCCGTAGTGGGAAGCTTGCCTTCACCACGTACTTCTAGTTAAGCTCACTGCCTGCCTAAAAGGGGAGAGGATTGAAGCTGGGGTGGCTTTTCACTGAAGCTGGCAGGCGATGAAATTTGCCACGGCCCTAAGCAGTTTCATCAGAATATCAAGGGGCTGAGCTCTTTATATTTAAAAAAAAAAAAAAAAAATCCCTATTCCTTGGGTCTAATGATTCAGACACTTAAAGTCCTACCGAGACATGCACGTGCGCACGAAAAGCTTATTTTTCATGCCAATGTTTATGCTCATCTGTGTGATGCTGATGCTGATCCAAGGTGAGAAGGGAGAGGACGCACGTGGCCAAGTCTTAGTCCCAGCTGTAAACCAAGGTGGACCCATACGTGGCTTGCGCAGGGCGAGGAGGTGGAGGATCACTCCCCATCCTGCAGACCCCATCCTTTTGTTATGGCCCTGGGGCTGGGATTTTAGGAGGAGCAGATGCCGTGATCAGCACTGACATCCCTTGCGGATGGGGTTGGCATGGGCTGAGGAGCGCAGGAGGCTGGGGTGACCTATATGCCTCATGACTGGACTCATCCTGAGCATCTCCTGGGGGAAAGTGTGCTGGACCTGGGATGTGGTATATAGCGATTTTAGGATAAATCATCAGAAAAGAGGAGGAAGGAAAAGCATATGGAGCTGGGCTGGACTGCTCCTGTCCATGGGAAGAAGACCTGGGCCATGCAATGCGCTTGGCACTGAAATGTCCCTTTTTGTCTATGCTGAGTGTGCTGCAGCAGCTGATGCAGCTGGGAGATGTGGGAGCATGCGGGAAGCCTTGCCAGGGACTATGGCATCTCTTTTGCACCCCACAGAGGTAAAAGTGCTGGGGTCTGCATGCAGGGGATGAGGAATGAGGTTATTGGCGGGGGGATGCTGATGGGGGACCCTGTCCTTACCCCAGGGAGTCTTGGGTGGTGCAGAGGTGCAGCGGGGCCAGGCCCTCATCACTCTGCAGGTTGGGATCAGCCTTGTGCTCCAGCAGCAGCTCGACACAGTCGGTGTGCCCCCCCAGGCAGGCTTCGTGCAGGGGTCCGTGCCCCCCTGGCGCCAGGTCAGGGTCAGCCCGTCGGCGGAGGAGATGGCGCAGGCAGGTGGTGTGACCCCAGCGGGCGGCAAGGCACAGCGGGGTGGTCAGCTCCCGCTTGTACTCCAGAGACCACAGCCCTGCGGGGAGGAGGGAGCGGGGCTGATGCCTGGGGCTGACTGGCTGGGTTCCTGTCCCCTGTGCACCAGCCTTGCGAATAAACCAGATCAAGACACTGCTTTTTCCATTTTTCTTTTAGCTCCCTGGCAGCTTTAGGTGTTTCAAAGAGCCTGGTTACAGCTGGTGGCTGCTCTGAGCGCTGTTGGCAAGAGGGGAAGCAAAACTCCCCTGGTGTGTGCACAGCCAGGAGCAGGATTTCATACGGCATGAGCTGGGTAAACCAATACCCTGCCCGCAACCAGCTGCACAGGGGACCCTGTGTGCAAGACCTTGCTGGCAGGAGCTAAAAGGCAGCTCATGAATTCCCCACCTGCACCCAGGGGAGGAAAAAAACTGTCTTTGCTGGGACTGTACTGGGCCTGAAGGCACCCAAGCTGGGTGGGAGCGTGTTGGGAGGGTGATGCAGGGCTGGGCATGGGATGCATTGGGTTTGGGCTCAGCTGGAGCAAGGCGTTGCATTTCTCGGCAGCTCTGGGACCATCAGTAGATGCTCAGCACCTGGGGAGCATCTGGGACCATGGGGAGCATCTGGGGTTGGGAGGCACCAGGTACCACTACCCTGGGAACATCTTATTCCTCCCAGATAGGACCAGGCTGCTCTTTCTGAGCCCCTGCATGGGACATTTGGGCTGCAAGCCCTCTTGCAAGCATGCCTAAGCCACAGAGTGCCCCATTCCAACCTGAAAAAAATCATGTGGACACACACTTTTTACACTTTCCTGCCCCTCCAGTGGGTTAGTACATGCAGAAGAGAAGAAAATAATAAAGTGCTGAATATTTATGGCTAGGGTTGCAGGGCACAGTCAGCTAATGAGAAACCAGCCACCTCGGAACAGGCTCTATAAAAGCAGTGTTAGGCACTTAAATGCACTGCACCTCTCCTATTTAGGGTTAGTAAATACCTTCTTTTTTTTTTTTTTTTTTTTTTTTGGACTGGCCTTTAAAGAAAATAAGATGCTTGGCTTTTCCCCTGCCACTCCAGCTCATTTTTACTGATCTCAAAAACCAGGTTGACATCTTGATAGTATCGGTCAGTCAGGACCTCGAGGCTTCTCAGGTCTCCCGTGACCAGGGCCGTGTAATACTTGGTGGCAGGAGTGTGAGCTGTTAGAGGATGCTCCGAATCCAATTTGGGGGAAATCTGTAGCTTTTCTGTTACAGGTCCTGGTAACTCGCCCATTCCAGTGCTTCCCGTGTGTGTAGGTCCTAGCTGGGAGGATAGATGGGCTTTTATAGTTCATTGTTTCCATCCTCCTGGGCTCATTGTCTAATTATAATCCAGTTAAGGCTCTATTGTCGTTGTATTTATAACTCCAGCGGGGTCAGATGATAACGTGCACGCGACACAATGAGGGTCAAACGGTCACTGGGCTGTGTTGTGGCAGCACCTCTTGGATTAAGTTGCCAGTTTAATTGCAGGCAGCATCTTGGCACATGGGTGTTTAGGCTAGGAGGAAAACGGTGCCTAGTGTTTAGGGAGTAAAAAAAAAAAAATTTTAGCCAGCTCCTGTCTGGCCAACCCTATATAACCTTATTTGTGTGCTCTGAGCTCTGAGAAAGTGTTTTTTTCTCCGCTTAACAGTGTATTTTTTTTTTTCTTTAAGGCAATCATACCTGTTTCCAGTCCTGTGGTTGCTATATGGAAAAATCTGGGCATCACATTAGTGGCCAACACAACGCAGGCTGGCATGTTGGCATGCCCCTGCAGGGATGCAAAACACTTGGCAGAGGCCAGCAAGGTACAAATCCTCCTGGGCTTTGGCAGGGGGAGCTGCTCTCCCTAATGATTCCTTGTATAGGAGAGAGAAAGTGCCCAGCTTCTGCTGCCATTTAAGCACAGGGACGGATGCCAGCGGAGCGTCCCAGGCTCCCACTCCCCTGAGGCTCGTGGCTCCTTTCCTCAAGGTCACGGAAGAAGTCCGCGGCAGGGACGAGAATAGACCTCGGCATCTCATGACTCGGTGGCTTCACCACCAGCCCAAGGCTCTGGGTGACACAACCCCCCTGCCTGACAGCCCTCCCGCCTCACCTCCCTGGGGAATAAACAAGACCAAAGCGGATCTCAGGACGATGTAAACTATATCGAAGCAACCAGACGCAGAGGGACTGCTGAAATGCTTCGTGGTTCCCTCCACGTGGAGTCAATCTGAGGCTGGAAGAAACGTTTGGGACCTTCTCCGTAGCCCTCTGCAAGTGGGGACCTTGCTGGGCTCCTGCAGGTGAGCATGAGCATCCTTGTGCTAGCCCCGGGCCAACACATCCACACTGTAAGAGTCATTTGAGGTTTCTTTTTGGGTTTCCTCAGCATGGCTGCAGTGATATCTAGCCGTCTGGCCCCAGAGACCATAGGAAGAGCATGAAGCCACAAAAAAATCACAGTGTGTCCATCCAGGATGGGGTCGTGCTGAGCCAGAGGCGGTCTGACTTGATGTCCTTGTGTAAATTAATCCCTTGTATAAAGGACCCCCTGCTTTGAGGTCCCTGTTCACCTGCAGCTGCACTGGGACCTAATTTGAGGTCAACCTACGTGGTCTTTCCTGTTTTCTTTCTCCCCCTGAACTCAAGGCTGGCCTTCCCACTTGGCTGGCTGTCCACAACTGCTCGGTTGGTTTGAACCTCCAAATCCCATCATCTCTCTCTCTTCTTTTACCACTTGTTGCTATTCTGCTACCTTCAGCCTTTCTGTGCCCCTTCACCCTTCTGATATCAATTGAACCACCTCCTGAAAGCATTGCTTTGGTATGAAAAATAGCCTTGTTATCCCCTGGGATCCCTCAGCTGGCACAGGAGAAGGTTTGGAGACCCGGGGAGCGGCACAGACTGGGGTTGTTTTCTCCAGGGACTTGTCCTGCGTCATGTTTCTGCAGCCCTGGCTCGCTTTCCCTCTCTGCTTGTTAGCAATCCGGTGGTTATATTTTCATGGTGGCATGGAGAAAGCCTGCCTTCACGTGCCCTCACTCACACTGAAGGGATCACCTTCCCGTGGCATGGACCACCTCCTGTGCTCGCAGCTAGGTATATTTAGCAGGGAGTCTAGACCTTCTCGGTCAGATGTGGGCTAATTTTGCAAGAGGTGTGTGTCTGGCATTAAACTGCCATTGAGAGTGTGTTGAAATACCCTGTGACCCCTTCTTGCAAGCCTTTTAATCAGTGTCTATTTGCATATAACACTCACTTCTTGGGTCATGGTAATGACAGGATTAACAGCATCACTGACAGGGGGTGGTTAAAAATAGCCAGGGCCAGCAAGAGTAGAAAGAAAAAGTCCTCTTGCAGCTGAGTGGCACATAAACGCACGAGCCTGAGCTCCTGCCAGCCAAGTCAAGTGCTTTTTCCACCGATGAGTGGAAAGTGATGTCAGGATGAAATGATATTCCTGTGTTTTTAAGGGGAACGCTGTCATACGGGTAGGAGTGATTTACTGCAGAGAGTACCTGGCAGCCAGGACACCTGCAGAGCATCCTGGGGCTGGCCAGGAGAGGGGGAGAAGTCCCCCATTGGGTTTCAAAGGAAAAGAGGGGGGTTTGACTGCTTATAAACTACCTGTCACCTTTGGGCAGCAATTTTGGGCGGTGGAGGAAGGCTGGGACACCGCAGCCCTACCCTCTCCTCTGCCACTGCCGTGCTGCATGGCCTTGGGCACATCACCTGTCCTCCCAGCATGCTGGTCCCTGCACCTCAAGACCCTGAGGATCTGAGGGCCTGATCCTGCAACCAATTAAGCCTGGGACCATCCTTATGTGCCCTTACTTCAGTAGAGATGTTCCTACACAGACTCGCGCCCCCAACGCTGGCGAGGATGAGCACTTCATTAGCAGTAACCTCGCACTCATTAATCTCTAATGCGGGGGTAGCATCTTAACCTTCTCCCTGCATATGACTGTTTGCAGAGTACACCTCATTTAACAAAACATTAAGCATTTTACTTCCTCAGATCAAGTGTATCTATTAATAATGACTTAAATTTTCTGCGCTGGCTTCACATTACGAGGAAAACTCATTCCTGGCACATGAAAGAGCATGATAACATGAAGCAAAAGGACTTCAGCGCGAGCTTGTTCCCCAAGTTAAGCTGCCGCATAACAACTTAGTCTTCACACCAGGGAGATTTCAGTCTGTAATAACTTGCCCTGCTGGTTCAAAAAACCATGAGGCTGCCTTAAAAAATCTGGCGAGTCCAGATGTGCCCGTGCCGAGAGCTCCTGGCGTCGCTGCCGTGATTTACAGCTGCCCTCCGGCAGTGGGGAATGGCATTATTTTTTTTTTTCCAGGGAAATTTCCAGCGTGGTGAAGGAGCCTGAGGGCTGGCAGCCCGCGGCACTGCCTCCACCAGCTGCTCTCAAGCGCGGATGGCAATGCGTGACTGATTTAAAGCTTGCAATCCCCCCCTCTTTACTCCCCAAAATAATTAAAATGAGCTAGCTGAGCAGCAGAGCTCCCTGTGATTGCTGTGTCCCCCCTCAGCACCCCGCGGCTGTGGGGAGGGGGTGCTGTGCCCGCATCCGGGGGACCGAGAGGTGGGCAGGCAGGATGGCGAGGCCACCATGCCACGAGATAAACCATCAGCTGCCCCAGCCTACCTTGGAGGGACGGCGGTGTGAGGGTGGATCTTCCGGGTGATGCTTGCTCGTCCCCCTGGGGCACTATCCCTGGCCGGGCAGCGCGGGGCGGGAGGTTTAATCTCCTCTCTTGGAGCCAGGTGCCACCTTGCAAAAGCCAACCTGCTGCTGAAATGTCCCCACGTTTATATTTCCAGCACTCCCCCCCCCACTTCATGTGACAGCGCTGCCCAGTTATGTGGCTGGTGGCTGAGCGAGGGGGCCAGACTGCAGGATTAATGCCCGTGAAGACACCCACGCTGGACTCGCGTCTCTGTGCCGGGGGGCGGTCACACTTTGCACCCCCCAAAAAACTTTTGCAGATGCAATTGCATGAGCAGAGCCAGCCGAGCTGCTGCTGACAGACCAGCTCTCCTTTAAAAACTGCCACCTGGTGAAATATAAACTTGTCCCAAGGCTGCATTGATTTTGTCCGGTTTTTATTGGAAATTAGATAATATTTAAATAGTGCTGAACCATTTCCCTTTAACAGCTCTACATAATATGGAAAGGTATTCTGTGCTACGCTGGTTTATGTGGCCCTTCTTTGTCAAATGTAAATACTTCAATTAAAAAAAAGACCCTTTCCAGTTCTCATAACTGTGCAGTGTTTTCCTTCCCCCCCCCCCCCCCCTTTTTCCCTTTTCTTTTTTTTAATCTTATGTGTCAAGTAGCTTTGCCTCACCTCCCCCCCCCCCCTCCCTTTTTCCATCTATAAAAATAAAAATACTATGGCTCTTAGTTTAACTAAAAATACTAGCCTTCCTTCCCCCCTCCTCCCCACCGAAGAATTGCAGCTGTGTTAATTATCCCCTGGGAATTCAATCCCAGTGTGCATCCTCTTTTAAAGGCTAAGGGGAGTGCTACCAATTTTTTAACCCCTCAGTAATGCGCCCGTGAAATGTCAGCCTGAGTGCCAGC